TCACGCTCACGGCAAATGGAAGGGATCTGGATTCAAGATCAGCCTAATATCTGCTGTTTCAGATGAAAATATTATTCACTGTCACAGAACCAATGGCAATGCAGTGACAGCTTGTTTTGCAGGCAGGACTGCCAGTTGCCATGATAAACTCATCCCAATGATCCCTAACATAGTTTTCACATGTCACTCCCTGGATAATGCGGGGATAGTATTATACACTATTCAGCCATAGCCCTGTGTCAAAGCTGCAATGGAGAGCAGCCACTGGCCACTCGATTATGTCTTATAGTGTTACAAGGTGGTGGAGCTTGTGGGAAATATTGCGCCGGATTCAGTGGCAGATTGAATATGTGCAGCCCTTCTTCCTTTCTGACCCAAACCTAGAGCATTATAGGCAAATTATAGCCCTTGTTTAACTCGTATCCATATGTCCTTTTCTCTTCTACAATTATTATTATTATTATTAAATTTTGATAGGGCAATCCCCACAGGCCTAAGGCCTTCTTACAGGGTACCCTAAATGTGCCAATACAAGGTAACATAGAGGAGTGAGAAACCACGCATACACACACGGCCATGCCCTAAGCATATTTTTTGTCTAAACCGAAAGATTATGCCGAACTTACACGTTGGAATCCGTATATTATGCCGGAGCATAATTTTTTGACGAAATCCCAAGATTATGCCAAATATTATGCCGGCATAATCCGCCAAGGGCTATGACAAGGAGTCGTAACTGGGGTATTTAAAAAAAAACATCTGCAGGCCTTCTGACAAAGCTGTATTATGCCCCTAAGCATAATTTTTGTCTAAACCAAAAGATTATGCCGACCTTACACGTAGGAATCCGTATATTATGCCGGAGCATAATTTTTTGACGAAATCCCAAGATTATGCCAAATATTATGCCGGCATAATCCGCCAAGGGCTACTCAGTACTCCTTCAAGTCCTTGTCAGTTTTTGTGCCCGATTTTGTCGCACTCACTGACTGTATTAGATCTGGTTACGTTGGTGGACAGTTTGTCATAACTCGTAACATTTTGTCCTTTTCCTTTCTTCATCATAAAATAACTATATTGGCTCAACATCCGAGTTCAAATAATAATAATAGGGCACAAAACTCGGGTCGTTGAATGTCTCAGTAGCCTGTCAGCTTTGTGCCCTACTAGTATTATCGCACTTTCTGACCGTTTATCATCTTGTGTCAAAAATTTGATAATAATAATAATAATAATAATTGTTACAGTCGTGGATAGTTGCTGCATAACTGTTTCTTCTCCTTTTTACAAATAATAATAATAATTCAGTATTTTGCTTGTAGATCTACCTTTTTATGGTAGGAACGGGCAGAAGTACCCCCCCCCCCGGCCCCCGGGCCCCCGTTAAGTCTACCTTTGACTTGCACTCGGGAGCCCGGATCGGAGCTTCACTGCCCCTGCTGCATTTGGTCTAAAGAATGCCTCTGATCTGAGCTGACCACCTGAGGTACATGTAGGTTTACTCCTGGGTTCAGAGGGTCAAAAAACAAAGTTTCGATTTTCTGTATTTTTTCACTGGCAGCGTCTTGTGTATGGTCCAAAGGGTTTATCCTGAAAATTTGAGCGTAATCGGGTGCTTCCTTCCGGAGATATAGCCGCGCAAAGTCTGCACAATTGTTTTTGAAATACTGAAATATCAGCAAATTTCTACAAAATTTAGGTTTGCACACTATTCCGATTTTTACCGTCAATCTTTGAGCGATTTCATTAAAATTTTCTGGAGCGACTCCTGGTACTCCTCTGCGCTGCAGACTGACAGCCGCGCACGATGTTTGTCACCATGGCAACCAAGATAACTTTTGCGCATGCGCAAATTCAAAAAAATTCAAATTTCGACTCTCATGATCTCAGCTGATCGCTCTGCTGTTGAAACTAGTTACTTTTGGAGTAATTGTTTTGGAGTAATTGTTTCTTGGAGCTAACCCCTTCGTTGGCTACTATGGGGAAGTCTAGAGCCAAGGGAAAGCCCGGACGATCTAAGAAAAGGAAAAGAACGTTCTATGGAGTGTCTCAGGCGCCGAAGGCTCCCTCTGGTGAAATTTCGCCTGCAAAACAAATTCCTGACTTGCCACTGTCTGATGACGACCTTGAAGTGTCAGCTGAAGCCACGTCTTCAAACAGCGATAGTGATGGAAGTGGCGGTGAAGTCGACAGCAGTTCCTCCGACAGTGACTTGGATGAAGAGTGTGAGGAAGGGGCGCATGGATTTCGCCTGATTGATCTCGAGTGCCTTCAGCAGCTTTTGTCAGCTGCAGTTTGTTGCAGTGGCTGTAATGGCGCAGTCACGATCAGCGAATCGCAACGGGGAGGCCTTGCATCATGCCTGGAGCTTTCCTGTGTTAACTGCGGCGACATAGCAAGCGAATTTATGTCCAAGAAGTTCAATCGGGTCTGGGAGGTGAACAGACGAGCAGTATTCGGAATGCGACTGATTGGCCGTGGACGTCAATCAATGGTAAAGCTGGCGGGTGCACTGAATATGCCATCACCTATGAGTCGGTCGACATTTTACAGCCATGCTAAAGGCCTGCATTCCGCGTCCAAGAACGTCGCTGAGCGTAGCATGACTGAGGCAGCTGAGAAAGCAGTGTCCGCAGCAGATGGGGGTAGCGATATCGCTGCTTCCTATGACGGTACCTGGATGCGCCGAGGATTCGCATCGCTCTTCGGAGCCTTCACTATAATTGCATATGATGTCGGCAAAGTGGTGGACTGCGAAGTGCTTTCAAAGTTTTGCCACAAGTGCACGCACTTGGCGTCTAGAAAAGAGAAGGGAGAGCTAACCAAAGATGACTATGATCGACAGATTGCCGAACACGATTGCTCAGTCAACACCACTGTATCAGCTCCTGCCATGGAGAGTGCAGCCGCCAAGACTCTGTGGGCCAGGTCCTTTGAGAGCCGCAAGCTGAGGTACACCACCTACATTGGTGATGGAGATACCAAGAGTTTTAAGGCTGTGCGTGACGCTTGTCCGTATGGGCCCGAGGTGCCTGTAGTCAAGGAGGAATGTGTCGGCCACGTTCAAAAACGCATCGGTACCAGCCTAAGAAAGCTGAAGAAAAACCTTGCGGGCAAGAAGCTTGCTGATGGGCGCACTATAGGCGGACGTGGTCGCCTCACGGATGCCATGATCGACAAGCTGCAAGCCTACTATGGCATGGCTGTGCGGAACAACAGCGGAGACTTGCAAGCCATGGCCAGGGCCATATGGGCATCCCTCATGCATCGTGCATCCAGCGACAGTAAACCTCAGCACCAGTATTGTCCGCCTGGAATTAACAGCTGGTGTAGATGGCAGCAGCAACAGGCAGGTGGTGATGTCTACGCCCACCACAATATCCTGCCAGAGGCAGTATGGAAGGAACTGAAGCCGGTCTACATTCGGTTGTCCGACCGGAGTTTGCTCGAGCGCTGCCAGAAGGGTGCTACGCAGAATCGCAACGAAGCGTTCAATGGACTCGTGTGGCAGTTGTGTCCAAAGACAGGCTTTGCATCCGCTCCCACTGTCCAGATGTGCGTCTACCTGGCCGTGGCCTGGTTCAATGATGGAGGTGTGGCAGTGAAACGCGTTCTGGACGAGATGGGCCTCCCTACTGGACACCATACGACACGTCTCATCAAGCTGCTAGACCGTGAGAGACAGGCACATGCTGCCAGAAAGAAGTCAGAAGAAGGGAAGAGGTCACGAAAGAAGCGAAGGAGGATCAGGAAAGGCATCCAGGATGAGCAGCAAGAGGAAGAAGGTTTGACATATGAAGCTGGTGGCTTCGACTAAGTTCTAGTAAGTTCTAGTTGGACAGACATACCTCCATCTGTACTTGCACAGAGCACTTTTTTTCTCCATTTTCCACTGAGTCCCGTACCTCTTAGACAGCGTAGCGAAGAACCTGTAAGTCACAGACCCCATAAACCATACATTTTTGGAAACTGTGAGCATTTATCAAGGTGCTAAGTGTCATGGATTTTTATATTTGTCTAGTAGCTTTGAGTAAAGTGCTACTGATCGAGGACCTAAATTTTGCGCGATTGCATGATTTTTGTTTGACAGCTTGAGTACTTTGTTCTGAATATGATTTCAAAATTCCGCTCCACTTAGCACCTAGGTATATGTGAAGGAAATCCTGTGGAGCACTCAGTTTCTACCCAGCTTCTTTCTGCGTTTGCATATTGCGTCTAAGGTATTGGTGGTACGGCATAATCGCAGATTTGACTATTGTGTCTGCGGATTCCCATGTGTGAGCTTGATTTATACTTCATTGGACTTAGTGAAATACACTGGGTATGTGGTCAAGATTTGAGCAAAATTCATCAATTATTATGGAAGTTACGGCTGTGTTCATGCGGTCGGGCCGCGAACCCAGACTGCCACCTTAAGTCTACCTTTGACTTGCACTCGGGAGCCCGGATCGGAGCTTCACTGCCCCTGCTGCATTTGGTCTAAAGAATGCCTCTGATCTGAGCTGACCACCTGAGGTACATGTAGGTTTACTCCATACATATAGGGACTTCAGACCATTTTTTCAAATCGGTTTTCTGTGGCTTATGTTTTGCTTTTTGGATAGGTTAGAGCTCCCTGAGGAGTTTGGTCTTTAGTTTTTCTAAATCGGACAAAGGAAACTAAAGTTACAAGCAAAATAGTCATCGCCTATCCCCGGATTTGTCCGACAAACGTCCCACACATTTGAGATCAGAGAGATATGTCAAACTGAGAGAACCCACTTTCCTTGGCAACACATAGCAACCGCACACCAGATCCAAAAACAATCTTGATTCTCCGCATGAAATAGCTGAATAGTATGGTTTACAATGTAGTGGTTAGTAACAGGAGACATTGATAATACAGTCCTGAGATAGCTTCGGACTGTTGGCGTGGTTGGTGTCAAGAAAAAGAATGATCACGGAAGAGGCACTGACTAAGCTCAACATGTACATACAGGACATTGTATTGGCTGGGGTAATCGTAGCACGCACATCATCATCAGCACAGATACAGCAAATAGCAACAAGAGTATACAGCACATCTCCCAGTTCGGCACTCTTTCAGCTATTCTTGCGGAGCTCAACCAGATCGAGCATAACAGCATCGGAGACAAGAATCGAGGTATGGACCGAAACAGCCAAGAGCAATTCAATTATTTGTACATCAGCATCATTTAGCGCAGGATACTTCTCGCTGCTTTCCATACTGTGACTATGGCGGCGCTGCAAGGCAAAGTACAAAAGAGGAATAATGCAAGAAATTATGTACATGTGCAGCACCATTATGGCTGCATGCAAGACTTACCTGCGCATTGACTCCACTCGTGTCGGACAGGTTCATGTGCGTATTCTGGCAGACTGTCATACTGGTAGCCAAGCTTCGTTGACAGTTTCAAGTAGTCCTTGTTACGATGCAGGGGATAGAACGGCACCATACAGTCATCAGCATTGTGACCTGGTGGTGCACCCACTGTCAGTGTGTATGTCTCACCGTTCCTCTTGATGAAGATCTCAAACACTCTATCCACCATACTGTGATGAAGCCAAAAGAGTGGGTCGTTTGTGGAAGCTGCTACGTTGGCCATTGTTCCACCGGTATAGATGTGTACGGCGTTGTGAAGTTCGTGAACAGTATTCCACCATCGGTTTTGACAGTACTTCTTGCCAGTCAATGGAGTGGAACCCTCCAAAACTTTGCGATAGCTGTTGTATCCGGTCGAACTTATATTATACTTTTCCATATCGTATCTGTCGGTGGTTGTCAATACGTCCCAGATATCTCGGTTGCTGGGAAGGAATTGCGTCTCTTCACAAGGGCCAAATTTCCTGGACACCTTGACTGTGGAATCAAACTCTCCGCGTGTGCACAAACTGTTCTTACCACGCCATGTGGCCCAAGGATAGAATGAAGCAGCATAGCAGGTGACAGTGAAGTCTGCCAGTACTCCAGTCAGGCCTGTTGGGTTGCCAAACTTGTTCTCTGTGAGCAAGGTGTCTCTGGTACTATTGTCTAACCAGTCCCAGTACGGAAGGGCGAATGATGAGTTTCCAGACACCAACTGCAGCTCAGCCTCAAACAGCAGCATGTACAACCGATGCCATACCAAGAAAGAGGGATTTCTGTGGGCAAAGTCAATGTACACATGGGGAAACCCCGTTGGTGGGGCGCCGCTGTCCTTGGAGGCGAAGTATCCATGCCATGAACTCGTATGTAGAGATATCCGTCTTGAAATCACGGCTGGTGAGTTGTGATGGACTACTGGTGCCTGGGGTGCGAGGAAAGTGACTTTCATCCACTAGCACGCCAAAGCGACTCTTACCAGCCCCCGTTCTATTTCGAGAGGCAGCAACGAGTTTCTGCACATCATCGCGCTCTGAAGGACTCAGGGTGAGAAAGTTTCTCCGCACTAGGGGTGTCTGGCGTTTCACACATCGCGCAACACCGCCCTGTCCCATTGGGGTTCTCACGTACCCAAACTTACATTCGTCACAGTTATAGCCTGCCCAATTTCCTTCGCACTCACATACTTGCGTGAACACTCGGTTAGGCCAGGGGTAGCGAGACGGTTCGTATGTCGGATTCTTTAGATATTCCAGGATATCCTTGGGGTCGGAGGAGGTTTCTGTGTGGCAATGTGAGTCTGAAATAGTTCTGCAGGATCCACGGAAGATTCCGCCACATTCGTGATTAATACCTAATATCCTCACGGTTGGACAGCACTTTCTGTTGGCGAGGCTGGTGTCGTCTAAACATTCAACAGGGAACTGTGATAGGACGAAGTGATTGGAAACTAATGACTGCAGTGCGAGCATAGACAGCACGAGAGATGCACTGTTCGCCATTACAACTATAGGTCGTCACATCATAGCATCTGTATCAGACGGTAATTATCATAATTATCAGACGGTAACCAAAGTAAGAAACAACACTCCCGTAGGTAGCTGTAACCAAACCGAATCTCAACTCAGTCCAGTTGCCAGTGCAAGTCCGGCGCCTTCGAACTACTGTAGGAAATAGTCCGTTTACCTGAGAAGTGAGAGCTTTGCAAAGGGTGGGCCATGGGCACTGCACTTTTATACCATGGTACGGTACGGAGGGCCTGTTTTCAGCCAATCAGCGCTCGTCTAGCCATGGTTATATTGGCCAGTATAAATCCCGCGCGGGATTTATATAGAATATAAATCCCGGTGCACGGTACGTACGCTAGGGCACTGCCACCGTACAAGTTCACTGCCTGAAAGGCAGTGAACTTGTACGGCGGCAGTACTCCAGCGCACGGACCATACATAAACAGACACAACGGACACCACATGCGCGTGTACACTCCACACAGAACGGCACACTGACGAGGAACAGTACACAATGGAAAAGAAGAATGACCTGGAATTCGTCTACAGAGTATTCTGTTATACTGAATCTGAGGATAAAGAACGTCGAATAACCACGAAGTATCCCGAATGGGTCAGCAATGTACATTGTACTTCGAAGAGTTGAAGATCATCAACGGACTGTCTCCTTCGTAAATAAGTTTATAATACCAGTGTACATGCACTTCAACCCGATTGGAAAAGGCTACAATAGATTGGATTGAAATGTGATACAAAACAGTGTATGCAAATGCATCTACTTGCAAGCAAACCTGATTATGAGATGCCGCATGTGAAAATCAGCACTGTACCATAATTATAGTAACACTTACTCCCAAAGAGTCCAAGCTGTAATCTAACTAGTGACGGTAGTTTGATTCAACGACAAACTCCAGCACCGCGGCAATTCAGTCGACTTCCGCACCGCTCACGACTCAAGACAAGATCATGAAGATGCTACAATATGCACTGGAACTGAAAGGAAATCTTATGCCAAACATCCACGGAGGAATCTCCTTCTGACCTTGCTCGACCATTCTTTCAATTGACAACTGATAACCATCAGAAGATGTTCATGTACTGCATGATGTAGGAGATCTCCAAATAGGTTCGTTGTTCTGGAAATGCGTAGGGGTACCTGGCATAAGTAGGATATGACCCTCGTAGTCGGGTTATACCGTACCCTCATATAAATCCCTCCTGCTATCGCAGTCGGGATTTATATTCAGCCGGTATAACCCTCTGACTCGGGTTATATCCTCTACGTAGACCTACTGGCCTGGGTAGATGTACTACGGGTGACATAAGGCGGAGGACACTCTATATGGACAACACTGCTCCCGATCGGGGCCACTTTTAGATCCTCTCTGTCGTGCGAGTGCAGCAATGCACAGTCTTCATACAACATCCAATGTCCATAATATCAAGGGTACACCGGTACAAAACCCCAGGGTTTACAAACTTTACACCAAAATACAGCAGGGGCCTAGATACCGTATTTCCACAAATAGTAGGCCGATCTACTATTTTTTCAACCTCGTCCTAAGGGGTCGTCCACAAATATCGATGTTTTTTAAGAGAAGATATTCGTTCGTTTGGGGGGGGAGGGGGTTTGGGCCTGTTCGTCTCGTCTTTGCAGAAAAAAATATCGACTCTATCCATGGACGGGCGCTGTTCGAACATGTAGTTTATGACCTACACAAAGTGAAAGTCAACCTCGTGAGCATAGCCATGGCAAGGCTGTGCGACCGTGGCAACATAAACCTAGGTGTATGGTGAAATTAGAGTGGCAACTGGTCACGTTTCATGAGGAAATTGAACTTCATTAAAAAAATATCGATCCCTTGCATAAACATGTGTATGTTCGTTTTGAGGGGGGAGGTAGGGGGTCTAGGGAGAAATGAACAAATATCGTCTTTAAAAAAACATCGATAGTTACGGACGGCCCCTAACCCGACCTTATAATCGAGGACGGTCTTGTATTCGAGGACGGTCTTTTATTCTTTCAACCCAGTTTGACCCCCGGTCTTCTATTTCTCGCCACACAGTTTTATTATTATTATTATTATTATAGACAACACCTCATGGCATGAGAAGAAAATCAGCCAGTACGGGAGATGTGGGTGTTAACCAACCATGGTGAATAAAAGAAGAAAAGTAATGGTCAAGACGGAGAAGCATGGGAGGGACAGGTGATGGTGAATCTAGTGAGCAGATTTAAATGCGTCCAGGGTACTGGCATTGCGCGTAGTAGCGGGCAGCGCAAGCCAAGCAGAGTAAGCAACAAAGAGTGGAGAGCGTACAAGGGAGGACGTTTTAGCCAAGGGGAGGGCAACAGAGCATCTTGTCTGGGAGCCATCTGTGATTCGGAACCAGTTATACACGTTAAGATGAGGAGGATGTAGAGCTAGTTTAAATTTGTGAGCAAAAGTGCAAATTAATTTTTGACGGTGGGTCGACAGTGGGCAAGCATTTGCAAGGACATACAGGGAAGCAGAAGGGTAGAGAGGGGGTAGACTAAACAGGATACGAAGAAGTTTTCTATGGTGGATTTCGAGATGCTCAGCGAGAACCGAGGACAAGCCACACCAGCTAACAGCAGCGTACATGAAAAGAGGCAGGATGTACAGTTTGTAAAACAAAATTTTACATTTGAAAGGAAGATGGAAACAATGGGGACGTATAACACCTAGGGCAGATTACCCCCGTTCTTCCATTTTCTTCTACACAGTTTGAGCACGGTCTTCTATTTTTTCCCACAGTTTGAGCACGGTCTTCTATTTTTAACACAAGAACAAAGACTCATTTAGTAGGCCCGGTCTTCTAATCGGAGACGGTCTTTTATTTTTTCAATCGCCCCCTGCCCCGGCCTTGTATACCAGGAAGGCGTTGTATACGAGGACGGCCTTTTATTTGCGGAAATACGGTATATAGGGGCAGTGGAAGCTCCGATCGGAGCTCCCGAGTGCATGCGAAAGCCAAAGGTAGACCTAGTATAGTCACTACACTGCCCGTTCCTGATATGTATTAGGGACTTCAGACCACGTGACTTCTTGGCCCAAAAGCGTGCAAATCGACGCACACACAAATCGTGTGATGGTCATATGTCAAGTCATGTAAAGAAATGTGGAACGTTTTTCGAAATGAAGGAAGTCTTGTACAGTTGGAGAAAGTTTCGGTTCGTCTTGTTGGAGCTTGCCTTCGTTTGGGACCAGCAAGAATGGAGCTGTTACGTTCATTTTTGACGGAGATACGTATGCGGATGGAAGGGAAAGGTGAAAAACCATATGATCCGTCCGGGTCCCCTTCTTGAAAATGTGATATTCGTATTCTACGACCTCGAATTAGTCTAGATAGAAGGTCATCTTTATTGTTTTCACCTTCCAGAAGACCTATTACAAATGATGCAGTAGCGTAAGGGCAGTGGAGAGTGGTACGACGGGGGGGGGGGGGGGGGGGTCCCGCGAAAAAATCGAATGTTTCGGCCAGCAGGGCACGTTTCAGCACTCTTTTATTGCTTATTTTGGCGGACCATCCTTGTGACTCCTGACAACTCCAGTGCTGTACATGTTCGTATTTAGGGTTAGATCAGAGCTAGATACAGCCAAGCAGGACTATGGAGTATGGTAGCTGACTTAGCACGCACTCGGATCGCTTGGATCCATACACATTTTGGTGGCGTTCCTTCTCAGTATGGTGACACATCTGTCGGTAGTGATTGGACTGGGCCCTCCCAGCAGGGGACCCATTTCTGTAACAGAAAATCCTCCCTTGCATGTGGCAAAAGGGGCCCACTCATTGTATCCTGCATTTTGTTATGGCTAGAGCCTAGTAGAGGGGATCGAACTGGACCCAGAAGTTGTTATTTAATGACTTATGACTTCTCTTTCAAACCCTTTAGTAGAGATGTTCTGCTTCATGTGAAACATAGAGGAAATACGTCAAGAACGAAAGCATGGCCCGGGCGTTAGAGACTACGGCCTCGCGTGTTGACATGGCGATGAGAGATCTCTACGTTGTAGCACATGCAAAGAAAATGTATATGGATTTGCTGAGTACCAGTCCTGGTTGTCAGAAAACTGCCAGATTTGGAACAGGAGATTCACAATACATATTCCACCTAATTTCTTTGTGTGAATGCGCACCAGAGCATCTACTTTGGGATACCTGAAGCACAAGAACTCGAGTACTTGATTCTTCACATTGCGTTCCCTGGCACATGGACCTGGATCTCCCTGATGGCTTTTTTTTTAATGAAAATCAAATTCAAAAATGAGGAAGACATGAGAAATACAGCAGAAGAACAAGACAACAGCTGGACGAGGCTACAAAGCGAGGCGGTGGTGGCGATGGGGTGCTGCAGTATATACAGCATGGTATGATTGTTTTGCATTACTTTCAATGTGCAAAACCATGACACAGTAGGCGGCTTCCACTGGTCACACAGTTGTGCTCCCTCCCCGGGATCGAGTCGTCGGTAGTAGATGTGATGAAGACGTTAGCAGCATTGGTAACGGAGTCCGCAGACCGCGAAGAACGACTGAATAACAGAATTGACGACTTATCGAGGCAAATTGCAGGGCTGAACGAGGAGGTTGTCGCCCTCAGGGAGTCCGCCATTGCTTCTCCTCGGCCTGCCACAGCTGACGAACCCCAGAGAACTCGTACTCCGCAGAGTCGACGGCGTACCCGTACGCGCAAGGGCCAGGCCCAGGATGCCACGCGGGACCAGTCCCAGGATGCCACGCGGGCCACGACTGATGAGGGCGACGTGCAGCATGCTGGCCAGCGCAACTTGGAGCTGGAGGACGACGACAACGAGCCCCAGACCCTGGACATCATTGCTGACGACAGCTGGCAATTAGTTGCACAGGAACCCCCCAGGGCCAAGAAAACAGTAATCTTTGTGGGCAACCTAGGTACAAACTGCTCTGAAGAGAGCATCAAAACTTTCGTGAAGCGGCGCGC